GCCAGGCTGGAGAGGCTGCGGGACCAGGCGAGGGAGCTGGGCTGGACCCACGGGGCACTGGCACTTTCCTCCAAGAGCTGGCCTGGCTTGGGCTGCAGCAATACAAACATGCCTGCTCCCAAGGACAGAGTCCACTGACCCAGCAGGGCAACGGGCTCCAGGAGCCATGCCCTGGCAGTATCCCCAGAAGGGCTGTCCCACTTGCGGCAGAGCTGCTGCCGTCCTCCCTGCTCAGCTCCTCGGCCCTGTATGGCCCCTCTGGCCAAGGCATCGCTTCCCATGTCCCAGCCCCTCACCTGTGTGGACCAGGCAGTAGATACAGATGCCCACAAGGAACGTGACGACTGCGATTGTGATGGGGATCAGCACCGACAGCGAGGAGCGCCCACCTGACTCTGCCGAGGGAGATGGGGTCAGTGAGGCACCCACGTAACACTCCCACCAAGACACTGCGTGCCCCGAGCTGCCTCTGCTCCGGGCCCAGTGCCACCAGGACCCTTCACAGGGACAGAGAGGAGCAGGAAAGCATCATGCTGGCAGTGCAGTCAGACCTTCCTCTCCCAAATACACCCACAGGCCAGGCCAGCTCCTCTGAATGCTGTGGGAGCTGGAGCACCAGATCTCCACTCTGCACCGGCCCAGCCCTGGGCACTTACCGCAGATGACATCCGAGGTGTTTGTCCCTTTTGCCTTCACCACCAGCCCCTTTTCCTCACAGCTGCAGGGAAAAACAAGACCATGTAATCACAGCAGCAGCCCTAGCACATGGAAAACACCTGAGGAGGAACAGCCGGGGCTGGGCAGCCACGAGAGCTGTGTGAGAAAGTGTCCTGTGCTGAGCCTACCAGGCTCTGGAGGGGCAAGTGGCTGGGGGGGGCCCAGCTGACCCCGAGGCCTGTGCTGCATGATGGGGACACCAGGTACATAGCAGGGCCCCACCCCAGTTGCTAAAACTGCTGAAGATGGGGACAAGGCACAGGAGGGAGTGGATATTTGAGACCTGCCTAGTCAGGGAGACCCTGGGGCTTGGGCACTGCAGCTATTGCAGAACAGCTCGAGATGACTTGATGACAGGCTACAAGTGGCTCCGTGGGGAGGTAATTTCTGGGCACAGATAAAAGCAAAGTGAAATCCAATGGCTGGCAGCTGAAGCGAGACAAATTCAGCCTGGAAATAAGGCTCATGTTTCTACCAAGGAGTGCAATTAACCATCGAGCAGCTTTCTAAAGACAGGGACCACCTGCCAGCCCATGGCATCCTCAAGCCAGACTCCCCAGAGAGAGGGCTGGTGCCTCAGCTGTTGACTACAGCCAAGGAGCACGCTGAGAGGGAGAGCCTGGACAGGCCATGGGCGGTCCCCATAGCCCCTCATCCCTTGCTCCCCAGTGTGGATGACAGCGTGGACATCCCTGGAAGGGTGAGCGCTCTGCACACATGCTGAGGGATGGTCACAAGCACCTGGATGTCGGCCTTGAGCTCAGCCACACCACCCTGGACCTCACCACACTCATAGCTCTGCTCCTCTCGCTCCTGCCCTACGCCAGCCTGATGCTGTGTCCCTTGGAGACCATCCCAGCCACCCAGTCCCCAAGGCTGCTAAGGAGGATGGCAGCAGAGGATGTGCTCACAGGTACTGGGCACAGCTGGGGATGGGTGAAGGATGTGATCACCACTCAGACAATACCTTGTCCAGGGATGGCACGGCTCGGTTTTAGAAGAGACATTGGAGAAGGTGCCTTCTGCACAGGGCTCACAGGGGGATGACATCCGGGCCACGGCCTTGGCTGGAGAGGAGCAGAGGTTGCAGGAAGGTCAGTATGGGCTGTGGGGGTCAGGTGAGCAGCACTCCCTGTGGCAACGCTGCCAGGCACAGCAGCAGGGACAGCCCTCCCGAAACCTGGTAGGGGCACCTTGCTGGGGGAGCCCCCCTTTCCCTGGAGGACCTGAGGTCAATGCTGCCAGGGCATCAGTCCCGCTGAGAGGGAAGAGCTGGTTGGACTCACCTGCCACAAAGCCAAAGCCGCGCTGGCAGGGCTGGTTCTCCACGCAGGTCTGGCAGCTGATGTCAGAGCAGTGCATGCCAGCCTGGCACTGGCACACTGTGTTGTGTGTTGCGTTTCCTTGCGTCTTCACAATGAGGCCAGCGTCTGGGCAAAGGGAGCATGGGCAGAGTGAGACACTGGGCAGGTGAGCCTGGGGGGGACTCCAGCCCCTGCAGCCCCCACAGGCCAGGCCCAGTGGGCACAGGGAGCACTTACTGTCCTCACAGATATCATGGGGGGCACAGTGCCTCTCCTTGGTCCAGCTCTGCTGATAGTGTCCGCTCTCACAGCGGGTGCAGACAGAGTTTTCTGTGCTGTTGCATTCAGAGACCAGCTTTTCCCCTGCAATAGAGGCTGGTGAGGAGAGTGCAAGGGTGGCTTTTCCTCTCTCCAGGCAGCAGCTCTGCCAGCAGGACAGGGGAGCACTGGCAGCTGTGGATGCCAAGGCCACTGTGGCATGCTGTTTGGTAGCCTGATGCTACTCTGTGAGCCAGGGCTGCAGGGGCCAGCTCGCCTGGTGGCTGCGCATGCTGCATGGGCTACTGGGTGGTGGGGCAGGAGAGCTGGGGGGGCCGTTCATTGCCTCCAGCACTCCAAGGACTGGGAAACGATCTGGCAGCGACAGCGGGAGCTGCCAAATACC